ACCCTCATCACCAGTCTTTCTTCCTCTCACTCGCCAACATCAATTTACACCACTGAGGAGCTGAATATGATTGATTTGAATACTTATATTATGCTATTTCATGGTCAGTGAATATGGTAAAAGCAGGCGATCTAAGCACCTGATTGGCTAGTCGTCAAAGGTGAGTCCGGTGCCATGCAGCTTCTCCTTTATGAGGGCATCCATTGCCTCATTTTGAGCGACAGTGAAGTGTTCCTTCCAACCCCCGACTTTCCCTGTAAGGTAAAGAGACAAGTTGCGTAAGAACAATCCGCCACTTCCGGGTGGAGTAAAGTCAGCAACAAGGAAACAATCTTTTAAGCAACTGCTTTTGACACGAAGACCTAATCGTTTTTTTTGTACGGGACAAGATAAGAGATAGAGTGCAATTGACACGCAATTCAAAAACTACTGCGCAACAGGTTTCGGATTTCATCCTCTCCTGGGCTAGAATTGTTGGAGTTGCCTTGCAAGAAAAGCCGTGTGTTTGCTGACACATTTTGAAGTGGCTGTTGTTAAAAAAAACCTTGTCATTGTGTTGGGTTTGATGTCATTGGTCCTGTTGCTTTCTTCTAGTGACACAGGCCTTCCTGCTATTCGATTTGTTCCATTGAATGGTAAAGATCTGTATAACCTGCGTAACCAAGGTTTCCTAGAGCATGAATTTTTGTCAGCGTCGTGTCGGCTGTAACACCATTGACCAATGATTCACCTTAATTACCGTTCTACGTACACCGACAGGATAGCGCATGCCAATTGCTGTATACGCACAGAAAGAAGCTCCCCCCCAACTAGCCATTGAGGTCTCCAAACATGCATGCTCACCTTATTTGGCGAAGAGATCGAGGACTTCAACTCCTTCAAAGGTTTTGAATAGCATCGAGCGATAACTAGACGGCTAATGATATAGGAAATGTTTACTTTGATACCCTCTGCGTAAAAGTTACATAAAAAAGTGAGCCCTCGCGAAACAGCCGGTAAACAGTTATATTATCACTGCCAATTTAACCCCGGGACCTTCAGAGTCCCTGTTCGATATTCGGTGGCGCCCTTGAGAACGTCTCGGGCCTCCAAAGATTGTGCATGGGAATCACTCTTTTGGACACTATGAATCCTCTGCGGAATTGACAATTGGTCTAGTCTTTCAGGCGAGCCTTTGCCATGTTGGTGCACTGTATTGCCTTTGTAACAACGCAACATGCTTCATTCTTCTAGCAAATCGCCAGAGGAAAACGCCAACGTCTGCCAGAAGAACCACGTTACCCAAGAAATCTGTTTCCATGTGAAAGGGACTTTATACACACAGTGCAGCATTGCACTTACACTTGAACGTGTAGTGCATCTTCTGTTCAGGGAAGATGGAAATTTATTGCTGGCAAACCTTTTGGCAATTTTATTATTTATATTGAAGAGAATTCTCTTTCTAATGATGCTTACATAGAATGACGTGTTGCACTGGAGTGTTTTGGCATAGTGTGTATCCCTATGCCGCTGTCTACTTTTGCGCATTCTCAGTGGACACTGCCCATGCACTAAGCAAGCTGTATGCGGGTTCACGGGAAGGTGCCATTATTCTTCACGCACCTCTCCAAGGGCAGATTCGGAACGAACATTTCGAGAGGAGCGAGTTGTATCGAAAAGGAGTCAAAAGAACGGGAGGATCGAGGACCCCCATTGGCCCCGGCATGAATCTGCAGGCGTACCTTTTCGCATGAAGCTTCGTCCAGACTTTGTACTTTCTGGGTACAGTACGTCATGGTTGGCCATTGGGTTGGCCTTCATGTTGGCAAACTTGCAGTGCTCAGTGATTTCGTCCAGTTTCTTGGCTGGAAGGTTCTTGCCCAGAAACAGACTGATCCTCTCGACATTTCCTCTTAGATCCTGCACGCGAACAGAGTGGAAACAACACAAAAGTCGTCTTCGGTGCAGTCGACAGCTGGCTATTACCTTATATACCATTGTCGGACTTTCAGGTGTTCTTTTTCCCGAACACCTGACAGTCTGCCAATTGTCGGAGTTGGAGACGAGTTTTAGTACTCTGTACATTCCACCTTCCTTAACTGTGTAAAAAGCCCCCAAATGCAGCTTCATCACTCAGAAAAAGGTTAAAGGTTACATTAGGAAATTCCCAATTCGGGGGTCATCCGATACCCCACCCCCCAAAAAAGCAAATAGAAAATAGTTTTATAGCCATTCCGGTTCATTTTGTACCATAGTGTCTTTGGTTCGAATCCAACATGAAAACATGAAGATTGGGTTTTTCGTGGATTCCCCGCCCTTTTTGTTCACTAGAGCCCACTTTTAGTAGTGTTTTAGGCTTTTCGCCAAAAAGTTCCTTGCTAGAAAATAATGAAGACATTCCACTGCGAAGGGCGTGCAGCACAGGGGCATAGGAAAGACGTACCTTCAGAACAGCAAAAGCGATTGCAAGACTACACTTTCAAGAAATATTCCATTTTAAAACCACGGGAAAACCACCCTCTCGTCCTGAGGGTTACTCTGTGTTATCTGACGTCTCTTGGTATTACAATGGTTGTGTGCTGTGACGTAGCACGAAAATGAGGGTACATGTAGAGTGCATAAATCTGTAAAGAAGGCAAGAGGCATCTATGCTGAAACGGATGGACAGTTCTTTACACCGGCCATCCCAATTACTCAGTAAAGGGCAATATCTGAAAGTGCGCTTGTGAAAAGGGGCACATACTGGTACACTGGTACAACAGCACATGTGCAAAAATGCACTCACTTCAAAAATGTCACTCGTTTCACAGTGTTGAGGTTAAAATGGTAATAACCGGGAGAAATACCAGATGCTACAAAACATTCAGCGGGAACGCCCCTAACCCTACACGTTATGACACAGTTCTTCCTTAATAATAATGCATATTCTATCGCCATTTCCGTGAACTTTGAGTCTGTGATTTGTGTTTTACAGAAACATCATTCTAAAGTTATCACAAAGCACAATGTGGTCTAGTTTCGTTTCCTTGTTGCCATGTCTGTTATTTCTTATTGCTCTCCCAACATACTCACTTTCTTTAAGTCTTCGTATCGCAGCAGAAGGATATTCGGCTCGTGTCTCCTCTTCCAGAAATACAAATAATGACACCACCACACGCCGTACATGACTTCGATCAAATAAAGAAAAAGAATAACATTTAGAGAGGTTTTGGAGCATGTCATGGAAGTCTCGTCCACCAGAGGCCTGAAATGTATAGTCGCGATGTGTACGGGTGAGCAATGAGACAAACGCCCTCAAGTGTGTATTTGCCTGCAACTGGGGACCCTCTATTGTTCCTCTTTTGTTTGTACTTTAACTTTATTAGAAGACCACCCATATGTTTTGTACACAGTTGTCAATCGGGGACCCTCTGTCAATCGGGGACCTTATTGTCCTCTATTGTTCAGGGCCCCCAATTGAGTGCAGAAACAAACGCCAGTAGTATGGGAAATATGCATTAAAATAACGTGCCTGACTGAATAACTAGTCCAATTTATATAGGTTTTAATCATCGGAAGGTGTAAAATGGTAAATAAAGAAATGGTAACAATGGTAAATAAATCCCTGTCGTGAAAAATAAATTGGAAATTTCAACGTCTGACATAACAATATTGACATTACACTGTAAAAAAGGTTGGTCAAGACAGTGTTGGGCATTTGCTATTTGCCCAACCTTGGTTAAAGCTACCACATTGTTGGTCAATTTCTGTCACTATTGGTCAAACATTGACCAAATATTGGGAAGAATTCGCCCAAAGGTTGCTAAGTTTATATTTTAACCAACATTGGGCAAAATATCATCCCAAAATTGACCGACCTTTTTACAGTGTATGGCATACGCTGCCTCGCTGAGAAGCACTGTTCCTATGATGACGTCGCAGTTTGTATCCAGGCTTACTGTCATAACAGCCATCACACACCATTAAAAGCCAGGCTAGCTGTGTAATGGCGCTATATGGTGTTACGTGGGTACTATGCACCTACTGAAAAGCCGCTGGCACCCACGTTTCCACCCACACAAATGTTGCCACATACCAAATATGGCGTAGGCTCGGGCCAAAATAAGTTGTTTTTGATTTGCACCCATGCGATTCTGCCCTGCCCAACACTTGAGCCCACAACCACAGGGGTCTGGCACCCGCACTGTAGCTGTGACAGAATCCGGTAAGCCTAATCAAAGATTCTTTTACATAATCCTGACGCAAATCATGCCAAATGAGCTTAGCAGCCATTTATTTATAGTCACACCCATGAATTGGGTTGAAATGAACTGAACGTCCAGTGTTGTGATTGAGTCCGACTTAACTTCCCTACAAGTCCGTCACAGGTCATTCAGTCTTAAATAGGATTTCGAGCTAGTCAAATCAAGTGTAGCAAATGTATTGATTATATCACGTGATATATGCATAGTCTTGTCTACGTGTGTCTAGACTTGGAATGGGGTCGACTACAAGACTGGTGGTGCCTACTGTTTCCACTGTTCGCCCTCTCCAACAGCTCCCCGAAGCTTTGTTCCTTCCTCTGCGGATCAAACATCTTCTCGAAATAATAGTACGACACCAGCACGTCTTTGGGGTTGCGGATGATGTAGATGATCTTGACCTTCTTCTCCCATAGCTGGGGAGGCAGGAGCTGGCCAGGGAAATGGCTTTTGAGGACCCGAGGTGACGGCATCTCCTCAGCAATCTTGTGAGGTGGTGGCATCTGCAGGTAATAACAAGGAGGTCGAACAGGTGACAAAAACAATCAATGTTGTATGCAACACCATTTATGATTGTTCACAATAGTCTTCAACGGGCTTAAAATGATGACCTTGACGGACAGGCTATAAACCGGACGCTGTAGCTACCGAAGCTACCGGTACTTTTGAAAAAAATATCATAAATGCTTATTCCACTCCACCAGCGGAGTTGAGGCAAAATCGTCCCGGGTTTTCGTTTTCCATGATAAAAATAAAAAACAAAGCAAACTACAAAGAAACCAGGAAACCAACTAAGCAAACTCAAACTAAACTAAAATAAACAAAACAAAGCAACATGCCTGGGAGTCTAACGGAAAAGAAAGCGGCGAACGTTTTATTTCCATGGGATCCTGATTTTGCTGGACAACTATAGACTTGTTTTCACCAACGTGACTGGAGTGAGCTATTGGACCGCCGTGGCCACGGTGTTATTATTATGGGCAGCTTCAACCACAGGCAAGAACATGTGCAAACGCCGCTAATAGTTTTGAAAAAGTAGATTACCACCACAACACATCACAGTCCAGCACGATTGTTATCGACATCACACGATAAAGGTCTATACAAAAAGCACTATTTAGGGAAATAAAAGTTGAATAACCGAGGACAAAATGCGCCCCATGCAAACACAAATGTTGACATTGCACTCTGTCTTGGCTTGAGTCCCGACCCAACTCAAACCTAGTCAAGCTTAGGCCTAGTCTTGAAATCTACTTTTACTCCAGTACGGGCGTGCGTACATTTTTCCATCGTCGGGCTCTCTCAGGAATGGTCTGGTCAAGGTATGGTACGCGAAACACGGTGTGTATCTGTTTAGCCGGGTCCAGATATTCATCATGCATCAGGCAGGACACAATCTCTTGAACCCAGGTTGTACCTTTGAATGAGAGAAAAAACAAACAAACAAAAACAAAAACACACTACATCGATTTCCAGAGAAATGTAGATTAAAATCCGGATAGATCCTACATAATGCCATTACAGACTACAGAGGAGGAACCTTTGCGTCAAGAACACATGTAGACCTAGGCCTATATGCCGTGTGTGCTTTCAGTGATTAATGCACGTGTTGTTTCACAACATACATGGCCAAATAGGCTCCAGCCCAATTAGTTGCCTGATAGAGGGATCCCAATACGACGCTTTTAGCGTCGATCTGCGCACTTCCGCGTTTGAAAACGAGGCTTGTATGTGTCAGCTTCAATTCTTAATACGATCAGACGATTGAAAGTAAGGAGTTAAGACACAAAATACATACAAGTGTATTAAATTCAGACTTTTCAAGCTGCAAATTTTTGTTGAAGAGTCTTTCAGAATGACTCAACACGTGAAATCAAAAGAAAAAACCAATGGCAATTTACCGCGAACTAACGTACCTGCGATGGTCGTGTATCTTGTGATGTGGGCGTGGTTTAAACTGAAGTGGCGTCACATACGAACCGCATACTGCATGTGCTGTGTCGACTCTGCGGGCGCGCGCGACGAAGTTCAACACAGAGAGCCTCGGTTTCGATGCGGATATGCGCAGACGGCGCTAATGTGAAATTCATCTATATATCATGATTAGAAACAACAAGGTCTAATGAGTACCACAGGCTATTAAACCATGGATCTCAGACGCTGACCGGGGGGGGGCAGGGAATCAGCCCCACCCCCTCTCTAGGGGTGGGGAAGTGCACCAATACCATTGTAAACAATTAATATCGTGTAATATTTCATCATATTTCCGCTTGTCCGCAAAAAAGCAGACATTAAAAATATCTCCAGCTTAACCCCCGGGAAAATTCCTGCATCTGTCCCTGATCTTTAGCGACTCAATATACTCACATGACTCACGAGCCGCCTTTTATGATTTACTCCAACGACAATGGGAGAAACTGAGTAATATTTCATTGTTCGTTGCGTGTAGTTGTATCATTTACTCTAAACTGTAGAGATCCATTTCCAGACGGACTGTTTACATGTCTATTGATTGTCCTGAGAAATCCTTCAAAATGTGGCTCAATGCGAAATCCTTGAGACCACTTCATACTCTGAACAAGAACGGGAGTTCGTGATGTCTAAATATAGTTTAAGATGCGAATTCGCATTTTTTTCAAATCAACCGAATTCTGCTGCAAATGTTTTGTGTCCAATCCGAACGGATGTATAAACTGGCTTTAAAATATGGGGGGGGGCTCGTGGTGTACAATCCATTTCTGAGGTACTCTAATCCTCCTCTGCCTTTTCGAAGACCCATTCTCCACATACTCGAACAAACCTGCTTTTGGATACGTCACCAACCAACAGTCATCCTCCCTGACCTCATACGTCTTGAAGTCTTCGGCCACCTTATCTACCTCTGGAGCAAGCGCCACCCCTTCGTACTCCCGCAACTCGCACGGAAATTCCGGTGAAAATCTTCGGCTTAGCACTTCAGCAACTGCAACAACAGACGTGCATTTGAAAGGGAGAAAAACAGGATAGATTCAAAAAAAGACTGCGCTACCATGCTGTTTCATCAACAAGGCCACACTTGGGCCCCACCGACGCAAATACTGATTTTTATGTAAAGCAGCCAATTATTGTCGTTAATCATCCATCTCCAAGCAAGATTTAAACAGATTTTACCTCGGATACGAGTAGCTGAATGTGTGGGAATGTTTTGTGACCAGCCAAACCGTACGCTGCCTGGCACTTACGCATACATTTATATTAAGATATGATTAAATCATAGCACGCTATTGCACATTGTATGCGCTCAATCCAGCTGGTACTTTGCGCCTAAGTTTGTATTGTAAATAGCGACACCACAAGTTACATGTTCATATGAATTCACTGCGTGCGCTTTGTCAGCGTTGCCCTCCTGTTCACAGCGACATCCGTGGTAGAATCATACAGCACGGTAATATCGTTGTCACATAATAGTTGCATTTTGCAAACAGCAACCAATTATAGAGGAAAATAAATCCTCAAAGTTTACGACCACATCGATCGTATATGATTATCCCTAATACATGTCAGAACTTAAATGCAGGAATCAAGGTTTCTGAGAGAATCTTCGACTAAATCTTGCATTCCCGTGGTTCCCTTGCTGCATGGAGCGCGTTCGTAACCCTGCATGTCAGGAATCCCTTCCTCATTGCGGCTGAACGTGTGGATTTTGTGAACAGGTCTTATAATCCTGTTGTTATCATATTTCTGAACATAGATTTAGTTCTAAACGGTTTTAATCTCACACGTGGATGTCCTTTGTACCCTGGCCCTGTAAATAATAAATTGGGCCCGAAATATTTTTTAAAGGTATGGGGGGTGTTGGGGGTGTCCCAACTGCTGATCTGAAATAGCATTTGTTGCATGACTGAAAACCCAAACATTTCTTCCTGTCTTTTGAGTTGAGCACACGATTCCACATCCTTGTAATAGAACAATTTGAAAGCAAAGTGTAGTTCACATTCATGTATTCAAAAATAAATAGAATTGTCAACCAAAAGTAACGATCAATAATAAGTACAAGATTTGGCTGAGGGGTTTGGAAATTATAGCACAAAAAACGCAATGAAGAAAAGTGTACGCCGCAACACACTAGGCAATAACAACTACATGTAATACAATACCCCAACCTGTATGGTGACAAAACCAGGCTGTTTGGCATGAAAAGAGGTAGGTTTAGTTGGACGGTGATTGCAGTTAGCCGTATATTCTTTTCTTAACCCTGGGACGCGGTATGAATTTTTTACGCGGTCTCTGGAGCGGCCTCGCCGAGCGAGTCCGTATCATTCCTCAGGGTTTCAGATCCCTGAGTCCGTCCTTAAGGTATATAAATGCTTCAGTGGTTATCCCCTAGCCTCTACAGCTCCTAAGTACATCACAGTACCGTGGGGGGAGCCATTTTCCCAGGCTATCCCGATGGGGGGGGGGCTCGCCACACGCCAGCCAAGCTACACCACCACAACAACACCCCAACCAAAATAACACTTCAAAGACAGCCGAAAGAGGCCTCTAACAAGTTCCAGACAGCTGTCACTGATAACGAACATTCAACAGTCTGCCCCAGGCACTGTTTTGTAAATAATCCATTACATTGTACACAAGGGGCCACTTAGCACACAGTCCTATGGGAGTTGGCTGGAGGCTGCCTGGAGGCCGGCTGGATTTTTTATTTTTTCTGGCTGGGGAGGCCATCTTTTGGAGGGAAAAAAATTACACGTTAATTAGCTCCAGTGGACTCGACAAAAGAGGCCACTCACTCTGCGCAGGGTGAACTAATTAGCAAAAACTGATTCTCAAAAATCCCCGGATGCCTCCATGCTGCTGCGCCGTTGTTATTCGTTGTGTGGCATGTGCATTTTATAGGCCGTGTCCAAAACGGGCTGCAAGAGCTACGGCTAGGTCTATTGTCTGCGCGTCTCCACGCAATTCCAATGGAGCGAAGGCATACATGTATATGTATGATTTTAATTTTTGGCTGGAGAGGCATGAGGTACGGTGTGGGGGCCACCTTCGTCGATGACTTCAACACCATGCTAGCGTTTGTTAAATTGTTCCTTTACATTGTCGACTGTCGTGAATTTGTTTGATGCACGGGACAAACTCCTCGAGTGGTTTCGTCGTTTGGGTTTAGCAGCCTCCATCCTCGTATCATGTAGAACATGCACTGTAGTTTTTATCTTGTACTTCAAACCTTGAGCATTACACGTATACATTCTCTCAGCAGTCTTGATTCTTGCATTAGGGCCAAAGTTCTGACATGCATTAAAGATAATTTAGCGCGGTCGATATGGTTTTAAATTCTGAAGATTTATTATCCTTTATTTCTAAATCTTAATTTTCTTTCTATCCAAACCTTTAAAGAGTCATTGATTGGATCTGTTAATTAATTTGGGTCAAATATTCATAGCAATGGAGAATTTGAGGAATCATATTATAAACTGCATGCTTTACAAAAGGTGTAATATGTTCTCCTAAACATGTGTTTCAGGAGAAAAAAATTATTGAAAAACACTGAATATTTTAACTGGAGCACTTGGCTTGATTGCTTGAGTAATCCCCGGCCTGAATACAAATAATCCTTTCAATTATACGCCTACATCTGTAACATTAATAGCAATGAGTTTACCCAAGTCATGAATTGTATGTAGTGGATGTAACGAAGAGCCCAACNGAAGTTTTCTGTTTTATGTCTTACATATACAGATAAGGCAGTAAATAAGGTTATCGTTTATTTTTGTGAGAGTTGCAGAAAAAATATTGTACAGTATACGAACTTACATATCCCTTGTGACGGAGAGCAGAATAAATCATTTTGTCTTTCGTAAGAAAGAACTTGGTCATTGACTCAACTTTATTGTAGCCTTTCCCCTACGGTTACAGTTTGAAAGAGATACATGTAGGTTCCCCCACATTTAAGTGAGGAATCGGGGACTAATATGTATAGTAACTACAAAGTGCTAAATAGCATCTTTAAAGCTTTTTTCATGGAGATGCAGCCTCTGGTATACAGCTTTATAAAATCCGAGTCTGTAGAAATAGTGGTACCATCATGATTAAAAAACAATCTCATGAAAAGTTATGTCAACTGGAAAAGGAAAAAAAAAAGAAGGATAAACAAATAGAGGCTTCAAAATGCTCTAAGAGACTTCAAGCTTTGGAATTTGCTCGGGTATCGTATAACATGTATAATGAGTTCTACTGAATAGATCTGAGCAAAGGTTATCATGATATGCAGGCTGTTCTTATTTTCCCGCAAGTAAAGTGTCTGGTCAAAAATTGGAACGAGAGTCTGTCAGCTAGTAGCCCGAGTCCGAGTCAGCAACAACTCGATCTAAACTGTTACCTGTGACGAAACAGCGTGTATAAGTTCGGTATCGCTTCAATGTTTGCCATTCACCCCGTTTTTGACTTTAAATAATAATAACTGGAAATTTATAGGGCGCCGTTTCCATAAAAATGATCAACGGCGCAGTACAAGTTAACCCTGCGATTTATTATTTATTTTTTTATGTGCATTTAAAAAAATGAAAGGATAAGGATATATGAATAAGGATAAATGCATGAATGTCACCGTGATGGTACCCAAACCGCAGTATGGGGATGTCTGCCCCACTAACAAGGAGAATCGGTGATTGATCGATCTTTCCCGGGGACAGACGCCTCTAACCCTACCTGCGATAAAAGAAAAGTAACTATACCAGACACGGTGACACTAAAATAACAAATCACAGCTAAACCTACGTTAAAATGGAAAATAATAATAACCCTACTAGATAAAATTGATAAAATCACGAATCTGGCCGTGCAATATATCACTCTACAGATGCAATATTAAAAAGGTAAGTTTTCACTTTATATTCAAAAACAGCAAGGCTTTGCACCCAACGTACATGTATATGCCAAGGCAAGGCATTCCATAATTTAGGAGCAACCATTGAAAATGCCCTGTCACCACGTGTGGGCAGCATTTTACCATTAGGGTAACTTAATAAAGGACCGTTGCTTGCTGACCTGAGATGATATCTAGAATCCTTTTTAATGATGACAAGATTCATTAAGTATCTAGTAGCAAGACCTTGGATGGCTTTGTATGTTAACAGGATGATTTATTTTATTTATTACAGTTAATCCTGTACATAACGGGTAACCAGTGAAGATGATACAATATTGGTGATATGAGTTGAAACTTGGGTGTATTTGTAAGAAGTCTAGCAGCAGTATTCTGGACTCGCTGTAATCTCTTATCTGTGCTGCCGTCAAACCATACAAAAGACTGTTACAAAAGTCCGGACGGCTGGTCACAAATGCGTGAATTAACACTGAAAGCGAATCGGGAGAGAGGAATTTAACTGATGCGCCTAAGATTGTGAAGGCGGCCAAATGCTGCACAACAAGCGTCAGTGATGTGGGTGTCCATTGTCATTTCTAAATCAAACCATGATCCCAAATTCCTGACGCACGTGGATGGAAGGATTACAGAATCGTCCACCATGGCATCGTGACAAAAAGAAACCTCTCCAGCAATTTTACGCTCAGGGAACTAATTTAAAAATGGCTGTTCTATGGAAATGGAAAATGGAACAGAGAGCACATCAAATATACTTTACAAGCATGACATGGAGTTAGATTTCTTTTATTTTATTAGGGTGTGGGTGTGGTGTGTATGTGGGGTGGGGGGGGGTAGAAAACAGGCCAGTAACCCAGCTAGTACTATTGTGGCTAGGCTGTGGTGGGGGCAGGGCCAGGGAATCATATATCCTCGGCTTGTAGTTTTATGGAATTGGGCAGCCACGACAAGGGATTAACCCTGACATGTACTACGGAATCCTCCGATTTCAGTATGGTTTTACGTACACCAATGCAAAGCATCAGTGTCGATTGTGTACCGCTGTTGATCTTCTGTTGGTGTTTCGTTGTTGCAATAAATTGAGAAAGAGCCAAAATACCAGAGAGCCTGATGTCACGTACTTTACCATCTGTAACATACAGAAAGTCCCACATACACTTTCCAAAGTCCAACTGTGCGTATAAACGTGTGCGTGGTGCACCCACAAGGCTACTACATGTACATGTAACCATGCAAGGCAAATCCACCGACATTCCAAGTCCATTACAAGTCATCCAGTCTAAAGCCAAGTAAAAAACATTTAAGCTATATTCAAAATAATGATCGTAACCCCCAAAATACAGTTCGCACCCATGCAAGTACGTCTCCTGGGGTACGTACCGGTGCAAATAATTTCTTGTGGAACATGTAAGTACTTACATTCTTCAACAGTGACATACTTCTCCATGACGCACGTCGTTGTCGGGCTTTACAGTCACTTCTCTCCATTTCCGCTTTGCCTCTAACAATGTCGCCCCTTACCACTTCGCCCCATTGCCCACAGCCTATCCCCATTTCGCCCCATTTTCACATTTGCCCTGCCCCTGTCGCCACTTCGCCCCGGAGTAAACTTTTTATAATGATTGTTAACCTGGACAAAGACTACAACGTGAAGGATTCGTCTGCCAGTCAACTATTAAAGGTTTCATCGCAAGGCATTTTTCCAATTGGAAAGTAACATGTTACAATTAATAAGCATGCATACTAATATTTTCTCTGAAATGTTAAGTCACACGTGAACATCGAGGACAGACTCCATGTTGTCATGTCTGCCTTCAAGTGCGAGTCACGTCTGGTTGGACTCGAAACGTGAATGACTCAAACATTGAAGTGTCTTTATTGACGAGAATAATACGCCGAGGGGATCCAAATCCAGGGGAAACTTTGATGAAAGTTAAAAGGAATAATATCTGCTTCTTTAACTTTTGCAATCTTACTATCAAATCCATTGTCACTTCCACGCCACCAACAAAATAGCGGTTTATTCCTCATTCAGTATAGTTTCTATTCAGTACGCAACACGGTCTTCCAACTGATGCCTTCCAAATTCAAACTATCAACTTAAGCACGCAGGCTGGGGCGAAAGTGGAAATGGGGCGAAGTGGTTGGGGGCGAAGTGAAGTTGGGCGACGTCAAGGGGGCGAAGTGCCCGACACCTGTGGTTAGGATCATCAAAAGCAAACAATGTGCGGTACGTTCCAGTGGCCCAGGGGTCGTGTGCACAATACATGTGCAATGTACTTTACGTGTACAATGTACACGTACATTGTACATGTACACATCTACAATGTGTACATGTACAATGTACATGTGTACATGTACAGTGTACATGTACATGTATGTTTTCATAGTGCGGTGTGTACCAGCTTGTAGACCTATGGTCCAACCGTTATTCCTCCATGTTTCAACAGACATACCCTGATCTTTCTCACCACCAATATATTACGTAACAGCATATAATGGATTTCACATTAGAGCCGTCTGTGCATATGGATCCGCATCAAAACCGAGCCTCTCTGTGCTGACCTTCGTACGAGTCGCGCTCCCGCGGACTCAACTACACACTGTGGGTGAGTTCGAGCGAGCTGCCGCGTTAATAGGAAATGCACAGTATACGGGTGCAGTGTCACAATTCAAGGAAAATTCTCTGCCAGGCGCACATTCACTTTTGGGGGGTGAGTTTGTTTTGGGCAGAAAATTAAAAAATTCATTGGTTAACCTACTAAAAATTGAAAATCAAATGAAATCTGAAGGACCAAACAACACATTGTTTTTGTTTGAGAGGCCTCAGGGACTTCAGTTGCCTGCCATGGGCTCCAAACTTGGTTGATGTTATACTAATTTCAATGCAGCTTGAATTGGTTCAGTGCACCCATATGCCTGAGCACTCGAATGACTGGAGTACGAAGCGAGGGTCAGCGAGAGTATACTCTCGCTAAAGGGTGCAGTGTCCCAATTCAAGGAAAATTCTCCGCCAGGCCGAGGCGCAGAAAAAGTACCCCCAGAC